GAGCGGATTACCACCAGGGGCAAAAGCGCTCTACCACCGCAGCGATGAGCCACACAGCACTGCTGCACGCTAATCTGGCCCCTACTGAAAAGAGGTCAGCAGTGCACTAAGCCAGGTTCTTGAACAAAAGATAGTTATACAACACCGCACAATCTGGGCTCTGTTTACAAGGTTGCTGGCCTGGCTGAAATACTTGGGCGTCAATGAAGGTCACCTGTCCACTTAGAGTAGTGCCTAAAGATTACTTGGTGTGGCTATAAACGACCATTAAATGAAATGATGAATTTTTGAAGGATTTTGAAAACAAAAAAAATGATAGTCATGCCGGCCCAGCATCATCAACATTGAAAAATGCCCCGGCATGAAGTGGATAATTGCCCTGACTTGGAAGTCTGAAGGGTCAAGCCCAGCGATCATCAGGACGGATTTGGTGAGGTGGAACCACCGGTGGAAGGTAACGGAAGCTAAGTTTACCTGTTGTGTCAATGCGCTTAACTTCAGACTCCATCATCTCCATGAACTTCCCTTCAAACAGGTCTTTGCCAAAAAGAGGAAGTTCTTGGAGTCTTGACTTGACTCCCTCATAAGGAATGTTCATGGTGCCTAAAGTGTTGGATCTGCGTGCAGAAGAGGCTAAAACGGCAATCTGAACGAACAGGTCGAAGATAGAGTTGACATTCTCATCAAGTGCTCGAAGTTCGAGAGCTGCCAGGTCTGGAGTAACTGGTGAATCGTCATCACACTCTTGGGCCAAATACTCAGAGAGGAGTGCCGTAAACGCGGTGCAGCGAAGGCCATGTCATGAGGCTTTGTCGGGTTTAGTAAGAGTAGACTCGATGAAACACTTGTCCTTGTCTTTAAATGGAAACTTTCCTGTAGGCTTGTAAGTGTCAGGGGAAAGTTTATCTTTTGCCTCCGTTGGAATCTCACGGAAAGAGAGGAAATTATCAAAGTCCTCCCTAGCAAACTGGAAATAAGTCAAGGCCCTGGGCGGGTATGGACGTCATTGTTTGGCACCGGTGAGAACTTTAAATACACCACCAAAACAAGAAAATATACACATTAACTCAGAAATATAGAATGTATGTTTATTACAATACATTACGGTTTGATCAGAATATCACAAAGGTATGGAGCAAAACAGAATCTCGATAAACTCGAAGATGTCAAAAAGACACGTCCGTTTAGAATCACGCTAAGGCAAAGAAGGAAGAACATGGCGGCCATTCTGATATGCGTCATGGGACTAGAGGGGGCACTACGGTCGATCAGAATTTTGGCAAATTGAATCAGACGCAAAGGAATTTGCATATTTAGCGACTGTTTGGGGTAGGTTGAAAGCAGAAGACTGTTAATTATACATTTTGCATTTTTTATTTTGTCCAATTCTTGTTATGTGATGAGTGTGTGAGTGGTCATGGCGGCCACTCACTTTCCACTCTGTACATAATGAACTAATTTTATTCATAAACCCAAGTTGTAAAAATGCAAGTACACACTAGCTCCCGCTTGTCCTCTAATTTGAATTAGGAATGGAAGGCTCCTAATTCAAATAGTGAAATTTATTATTTGATTACTAATTGTGGACCAATTTTTTGAGAGATGTCTCACTGGAGAGCTAGCAACAAATGCAATCCTACCCAATTATCAATTCAGTTTGAAAATCTATTTTCAAGGTGCCAAACAAACAGGCCCAAAGCACAAAGCATAGAATAGACAATACATTTTTAATCTAATGACAGGCTTCATTTTCAATCAAAAGATATTGCGTGAACTGAAGTGATTATATCCTGCCAACATTATGGAACTGCTGATAAATTTGACAATGCAAGTGTGGTCAAGTTATTCAAAGTAGTGGTGATATTGCCATCACTCTTGCAATCTTGTATGTGACTTTACCTTTGGTCCTATTGCTCCTGGGCTTCCTGACACACCTCGTTCACCTCGCTGACCTCTAGGTCCACGGTCACCAACATTACCTGGAATTCCTGATGGTCCCTGTTGAAACAATCAAACATAAAATATAGTTTATGTGATTCTTAAAGCAGAAACCTGACCTGTTATAAAAACTTTGGAAACAACAATAAACTGCCCAATTTACAGGAAAGAATGTTGATGGCAAAAGACAAATAAGGACTTTGCCCACTGTATTCTGTCAATTCAAATGTAAGCTGTCAGTTCAAGTTGCATCTGTTTGAGGAATAAATCATTTTAAATTTTGGAAAGTAATTGAACAAGCAGTCCTGTTTGCTCATGAGATTTGATGGCTCACATAATTAGAACAGCACCACGGAGGAAGTATCTCTTTTGTGAGTTTCTGAGGTCCTAAAAAGAACCAGTAGTAGGCCTATGTGGGCAGTATTATGCTCTATCCATTGTCACGACACTGGCTTGTTTATATCTTTACCACTTCGCGACGGTGGCAGTTATCAATGTTAATGATGCTGGGGCAGGATAATTATCATTTTTTTTCTGTTTTCAAAATTCTTTAAAATTTCTATCTTCATTTACTGGACACTTACACCTACATGAAGGACTGTCTGGTTTCTACTCTAATCTGACAGACAACATCTATTCATGCTGGAGTATTTCAGCCAGGCATGCCGCCTTGTAAAAAGAGCCCAGATTTTGCAGTTTTACGTAATTTTCTTTGGTTCACGAAACTGCTGACCTCTTTTCAATAGGGGCCAGATTAGTGTGCAGTGGTACTGTGTGGCTCATCACTGCGGTGGTGGAGCACTTTTGTTCCCGGTAGTAATCCACTCGCGCTAAATCCCCTAAACCGTTGGTATAATGTTTCAAAACAAGGCTGGATTATCTGCCCAATTGAGAGTAAAAAAATGTTGGTAATGCCCAGCAGCCTGGTCTTTTGTTCGGAGTACGGAGTACTTTTGTTACAGGGCCCAGTTCGTCCGATTTCGGAGACCCCAGCCACGTGTATAATGAATATGTGTCTGGTACCGGAAACCCTGGCGGCAAGTGGTTAATTTATGCTGTACATATATTTTATTAGCATTTGTTTCAATTTCACGATGAACTACACCTATCTTCAAACATCTGTGATGAGTGTTTGAAATCGGTAATAACTTGCTAAAATTCAACTTACCCTAGATCCCTTCTCTCCCCTTTTACCAGGATTACCAGAGTGCCCATTGTCTCCCTGAAAGAAAAAGAAAACATACAGGTGGGAATCCTTCGAATTCTCATTAAATGTTCACTAATATAGCAGAAAAGCCTGGTATCAGAATATTATAAATGGCTTTCCCTCTGAGGAAGTAAAAGACATCTTCCCACTGACAAATAGGAACATTCAAAAATTATATTTAAATCTCATTTAGGAACCAATCCAACATGCATAGTGCTACATGTGAAATACAAGTACATGTAATTTCACAAGGACTAGACGAAGCTTACTTTCAGTTTAGATGTACAAGAAATTGACTGGAGTGGAACTTGGGCCTACAACCTCTGAAATAGTGTAATTGCACTCTATCAACGGACCTATTAACAAGCCCATACAAGGCATGATTAGAGGCAATAAAACCCAAAACACCATATAGCCAAAGATCACACCCCAATCCTCCATGCAACATGGAATAAGAGAAGGTTGTGTTGGTCAGCAGAAAAACTATACAATTTCCCAATGGACAAAAGCTTTGCTCATACTTGAGAGACAAGATTACAGAAAACCCATAAGGCTGCATTGCCTGGGTGTAGTAACAAATGTATTTGGTACAATAATCAAACTAATTATAAAGATAATAAATATGCGCTTGGCCAGTCTCAAACATTTGTGTCAAGCCAGCTCAGGTGAATAGAGGCTGAAAATGTTCCAACCTGAAGGTGAGGACATGGAGTGCATAGATACACAATCTACTTTAACCTGACAATTAGGAATTTTAAAAACGACTTACTTTGACAATTTGGGTATTTGCTCTTTAACCAGGGGGCACATTAAACAGCTGTGTATGTGTCTAATTATCTTGATGCACGTGCGCACTCACTCGTGCTTCAACTCAACTTTCAAGGTATGATCAAGATGAATACATCAGTTCTTAATGGTTTTAAGTTATACTTCATTCAAAAAGGTTTTAAACAATATATTCCTCACCCAAATTTGTCCGGGCTTCAAAACCCACCTTTTTTAGTGAAATATTTTAGCTTCTATGATTAACCCAAACCCCCTAAGGGTGTATGTCAAATCATATTGAAATCGAATTTGTGACAGTTAGGAATAGCTATAAAACAGTTTGACATTGTGACATCTCAACAAAAATAAAGTGGGGAAAGTAGATGATATCAGGTTTGGGCAGGTAGATTATAATTACTACTTGTTATTTAAATGGTTCCAAATGTCCCTGATCTGTTTAAAATAAAAACACTTTGAAACAGTGAATTTGCCCCAAGTACAGACTACAGAGTAGAAATACATGTGTGCCATTGTTCACCGGCCACTTTTGTTGCTGGCTGGTGCTTTATTAACCATTGTGAAGACTGGCCATGTGACTGGCACTCTACAAATGCCCAAACAATCTTAGTTATTTATGAATAATAATTATTACCTTATCACCAGTTCTCCCGGGGTATCCAGGCATCCCAGGAGGTCCCATCTGGCCCTGAGGAGAACAAAAGAATTGTAAATGAGCACAACAGAATTTGTCCATTGCATCTTTTTGGAAGACTGTTATACCTGCTCCTCTCAGTGGTTCTCAAATACTTAGACATTCTTTTGACAACTTTTGATAAGCTCTACATTGGTTTTTTGTTTCTTGTTCAATTTTCCAGAACAATTATCTAACAGGATGTTTTGCTTATCCTCATGAATACAGTCCACAAGGCTTCATTCCTTGAGCTCATTTGAATCAAAGTCCAACCTTTTCTCCTGGTACACCAACTGGTCCTGGATCTCCCTGCACGCCTACTTCACCCTGAAAAAATGATGGTAAGAAAGAAAATGCAATTTATAAATGTCACTGTTATGAATTGTCTCAACATCCGGGTCTGCAATTAAAGAAGGGGATAAAACCCTTCAGTGTGACTGTTGACTTTACTGCTGACTGCTGTCTTCAAAGGTGGGTATAAAGGCCTTCCCTGCATTAATGGGACAATTTGTTGGGAAAGTCAGAACCACAATGTGTAGACAAAATTCATCCCAATGTTTTCAGTCCCCATATGAGAGTGGATCAGTGGGGGGGGGAACAAAAGTCATGGCCCTCCTCCAAAGGAAAAAAGGAGCCAAAACTAGTTTTCTTGAAATTAATGTGAGAAGGGCGAGTCTTTGTACCTTTACTCACCCCTCAGAGAGGCCATAAAATGTTACATGAATAAACCTCTGAATGGTTGGTCCCCTGATACAAGTTCCCCCTCCCCAAAAATTTGGTTCTTGATCCATCCTTTTTCCCATAATGCCACTATTTGTTATTTCAACATGTGTTGTCCCTATGATCCAGTAACAAGTATAAGTGTAATTTTATCAGCACTGCCTTTAATACACTGACATGTTCTAGTGAATTTTGGGTTCAGCATGGTTAGGGTTAATGAAACTAAAGTGGATAGCTTCTGTCAGCTACTTTGGTTCATGTTTATTTTGTTAAGATTTTTCTTTTGAATTTCTCCTCACTTGAGAGAAAGTGCCCTTCCAATGCTTGCCACTGTGCGTAACATTAACAAATGGAATGAGAGAAGACAGTGGTTGTGGACAACCACGGAGCTGCTTCGGTTTAAAAGGGTTTCAAAAAAATCTGTGCATATAATTATTACATAATGGAAATTTTTGGAAAGGAAATGGAAAGCAATGGGAAGTTTACAATCCATGTCATCTCGATGCATTTCACATCACTTATTATATAATGATACGACCATCCGATGAAATCGATGTCCATCTCGAAACCTTCCCTTTCTGGCTATCTGCAAAGTTCAACCCGATAGGACATGTACTTCATGAGGTATTGGGCTTTATAAAATGCACCTTTAAAGTCCTGTGACTTGTCAACCGATCAATTTGGGTCTAAAACCCTTGCCCTCCAAGCTACACACAAAGTTTAAGCCCAATCAGACATATACTTATTGAGAAATGGCACTTTAAACAGTGCCCCATTAATGTCACATCACATTAATGTAATGTCACACAATGACATCAAAATCACATCAGATCAGTTTGGGTCAAAACCCTTTCGCCCTTGAGCTATACACAAAGTTTCAACCAAATTAGAGATGTACTTCACATGACTTGGCACCAATTTATGTCATCATCACATCAGGTCAGTCGCGGTCTAAAACCCTTCCCCTTCGAGCTATATACAAAGTTTCAATTCAATTGGACATGTACTTCATGAGATATAGCACTATAAAGCTTGCCCCTTTAATGTCACGTGACTTGTCACCTGATGACGTCATAATCACATGAGGTCAATTTGGGTATAAAACCCTTCCCCTTTGAGCTATACACGAAGTTTCAATAAAATCGGAAATTTACCTCTTGAGATATAGCACTTTAAAAAGTGCCCTTTAATGTCACATGCCTTTCCCCAAGATGATGTCATAATGACATAAGTTCCATTCTGGTCTCAAACCCTTCTCCTTTGAGCTATACATGAAGTTTCAATCAAATTGGGAATGTACTTCATAAGATATAGCACTTTAAAGAGTGCCCCTTTAATGTCATGTGACTTGTCAGCTGATGACGTCATTATGATAACTTGTACAGGAACCTTTTCTAGCTTGTGGCCTTATTGTGTGCCCCTAACACAAAGTCGGTCAATCGATAACAATGCAAAAGCAGTCTTCCTGTTGAAAAACATGTAGAAGACGTATATATATGAGCAAAATTAAATAATCAAAATTTAAAAATAAATCATGTGATGACTTCATCATGACAATTATGGTGTTGGATTATCCTTAACCACTTCCTGCCGGGGACTCCGGGATCGGAGATGTAAGGTTTATATGGGTGGCCGGGGTCTCCAAACTCGGNACTCCAGTCTTGTTTTGAAACCCTATGCCAGGGTTTGGGGCTTTGAGAGCGAGCAGATTACCACAGGGGACAAAAGCGCTCCACCACCGTAGCGATGAGCCACAGAGCACCACTACACGCTAATCTGGCCCCTATTGAAAAGAGGTCAGCAGTGCACTGAGCCAGGTTCGTGAACAAAAGACAGTTATATAACACCGCACAATCTGGACTCTGTTTACAAGGCTGCAAGCCTGGCTGAAATATTCGGGCGTCAATGAAGGTCACCTATCAACTTAGAGTGGTGCCTAAAGATTACTTTGTGTGGCTATAAATGACCGTTAAATGAAATGATGAATTTTTGAAGGATTTTGAAAATCGGAAAAATGATAGTCGTGCCGACCCAGCATGATCAACATTGAAAAATGCCCCGGCATGAAGTGGTTAATTAATAGTCGGAGGGTTTGCTAAATATTAAGTCATCAGATCTTTTAAAATATGCCAATATTCAAGTAAGATGATAATTTAGTAGAAAAATGTGTACAAAACCTACGGAAAAAAATTAAATATTCAAATTCAAAAATAAATCATGTGAGACGTCATCATGACAAATTTCTTCTAGGACCTACTTGACATGACTATCTAAAGGTCTACCAAGTTTGAAATCAATCAAATAAATAAAACTAAGTCCCCTGTCACAAAGAGTCTGAAAAAGGAAAAGAAAAAAAACTGAGAGCTTATCTGTCTGTTTGCGATCAAAACAGAGGGCTTTTTCGCACTCTTTTGTACATTTGAACAACTTCAAGAGGCCTTCAAGAGTGCACCTTTAATGTCACGTGCCTTGTCTTTTGATGACGTCATCATCACATGAGGTCAATATTCCTCTAGAACACTCCCTTTTCAAGATATCCACAAGATCTGATCCCAATCGGACATGCACTTCTGGAGATATAGGGCCTTAAAGACTGCACATTTAATGTCACGTGACTTGTCTCCTCATGATGTCATTATCACATAAGGTCAATATACCTCTAAAGCACTCCCTTTTCAAGATATCTGAAAGATTTGAACACGATCAAACATGTACTTCAGGAGATATTGGGCCTTAAAGAGTGCATCTTTAATGTCATGTGACTTGTCTCCTGATAAAGTAATGACCACATGAGGTCAAAATTCCTCTTAAGCACTCCCTTTTCAAGATGTCTGCAAGATTTGAACCAAATTGGATATACACTTTAGGATATATAGTACTTTAAATGAGGCACCATTTAATGTCACGTGACTCGTCTGCTGATGGTATTGCCATCACCTGAGGTCAACTTCCGTTTGTAAACCTTCCCTTCCTAACAACCTGCAAGGTTTCAACCCAATAAGACATGTACAATACAATGTACAATACAAAACATAATACTTATTGCAGAAAAGGTACAGATTAGATATTTTAAACATTTTGGTGTTCCATACAATGCGATCTGCTCTCGGCAGCACATGGTCGGCATTTTGCCAAGTCCCGAGTATATGCCCTACGAACTGTGCGCCCGTCTATGTTGCAGGCAGGGGGTTTTTGTCGGCGGTGCTTCATGTGTGTGAAAAAGTACACCAGTTATGCACTTCATGCAGCTGACTCCAATATTTTAGCTGTCATCTCATGCACAATTCACGCTCATATCTCTTTTGGTTGATTTTTTACCAAATTTTGAATAAGAAGAAGTTTTTATTGTAACTTCCGGTCTGATGACGTCATCAGCCCCAAACTTCACACACGTGTTGACTGGGTAAAGATGGTCATCTACATCAATTTTCAGGCGATTCGGACAAACTTCGCCACAGACATCCATTCAAAATTCATTTTTCGGAATTTGTAATCTGTCGCTAGAGGGTCCTCAACAATTTAAAAAATACTATACCCCAGCAGACTAACACCATTGAAAACAACTCGATACCTATTACCACTTTTAAACAATAAGACCACTTCCGGTTTCGACCGGAAGGGAAGGGTCACGTGATTTGACCCACACGAGATGAATTGAAGACCCCATTTTATCCTGGCACTTCCTGCAAACAGATTGTTGTGGGAGGCCAGGGCCAATTTTATATGGATTTTTATAAATCTAACGGAATATTTAAATATTCAAAATTTAATAATAAAACATTTGATGACGTATCATGACATAAATAATTTATTATTATCTTTATTTTCTAGTTAGTACTTGCTGCAAGTTTGACGACAATCAATGATTACTAAGGTATGAAAATAGAGCCTCAAAAACGTGTGTGAAGTCAATGGGCTAAAATAAATTGTACAAATTGATAATAAATCACTGGATGACGGACGTCATGTTTCTGGGACCATCTATGCATAGGGGTTCTTCATAGGTATAAGTTTGATGATAATCCAAAGTTGCATAAGCACTAAAGTCACCGGTAGAAAAAAGTATACAAACCAAACGAAAAGAAAAAGAAAAAAAAAAAAAGACAAAAAGAATGCCTCTTTCGCAAAATTGCAATAGCTGCTTCGGCAGTACACCGAAGCAGCTAATAATCTCTTGATTAAATTTAGAGCATAAACGAAAGACATAATGATGCTGCAGACATGCTTAGAGGTGACCAGTCTGCTGTTTATTATACTCTTTGTTCCTGAAACTCTTGTGAAGTGCATTTTTACATCAAAGTAAGAGCATAGAGTGTTTGTGACACTGGCTGCCACTGCCTGCTATAAATGCTGGTAATGTTCCCTCAATATGTAATACAACTGATGAAATCCAAGCTCTTACAAAGTACTATTTTGAATTAAAAATCTAGCCTATTGTGTTTCATGGAGACATGGCTGAATCCCAATGTTCTGAGTGACATAAATGACATAGCTTTCAACTTATTCACTATAATCGTTTGGAGATGGATACTAGTAAACAGTGGGGAAGGGTATTTGTGCCTACATTAACAAGTCTTGGTGCAACAATGTCTAAGCAAAAACTACCCTCACTAACCAGGATATATAAGTTTTGTGTGTGGCATGTGGACCGCATTATATACTGCTGGAGTTTAATAACCAGATGCATATATTTCTGGTATATAAACCTCCAACTTCAAATGCTGATGAAGCCACTCGTTTAGTCCACATAACAGTACAGTCACTTGAAACTCAAGTACTGCACTCACCTAAAATAACTCTAGGTGACTTTATTCAAGATTGGAAGGAATTTTGCCCAATTACATGCAGTGTGTTGAAAATACTGCATGAGGAGGGAATATTTTGGATGGCTGTTACTATTGTGTTAAACACGTATTTATGGCGGTAACTTGCACCAGTATTGGACTCTCAGATCACAATATGGTTGTTCTGATGCCTGATTAACATCAAACACTTAAAACAGTGTAACCTGTCAAGAAATGTGTGAAGGTCAGGAACGATGATGTTGAGCAGACTCTGCAAACTTGTTTTGCCATTACAGATTGGGACATCCTTGTAGATTCAGTTTGGTAAGCTACTGGCAATGGCGACAGGTCATGCAACTCGAAATTTGAATTCTTTACTACCATATTCTGTGTGTCCAATCATGCCATTGATTAATTTTAGGTGTGGATGTATGAAATGGCATTTTGTATAATACAACTCATGTAGTTTTAATGTTTTGATGTCTGTAATTTTTGGCTTTTTCGTCATTTTGCGAAAAAAAAGGCTTTCTTTTTGTTCTTTTTTGGGGGGGCTTTTTTGCAATTTTGCAAAAAGGCATTCTTTTTCTTCCGTTTCTTTTTTTTTTGGCTTTTTCATAACTTTGCGAAAAAAGGCATTCTTTTTGTTCTTTTTGGGGGGGCTTTTTCGCAGTTTGCAAAAAAGGCATTCTTTTTCTTCCGTTTCTTTTTTTTTTTGGCTTTTTCATAACTTTGCGAAAAAAGGCATTCTTTTTGTCAAGATTCTTTTTCTTCTTCTTCTTGTTCCCATTCTTTTGTACACAGTTTTTCTCCGTGGCACTTTAAACCCTCTGAAAGGTTCAATCTTCATCAAAGTTGCCTAAAGCAAAGACCCTATGGCAAAGATATGCCGCGAAGCATGACGTCATCCAGTGATTTATTATTGATTTTTCAATATTTATTTCAGCCCATTCACTTTGTACACATTTTCGAGGCACCATTTTGGTACTTCAGTAATCGTTGATCATCGTCAAAGTTACAGCAAGCACTGACTATAAAACGAAGATAATACTGAAATATTTACGTCATGATGACGTCATCAAGTGATTTATTATTAAATATTGAATAGTTAAATTTTCCGTTAAATTTATAAAAATTCATATAAAATCAACCGTGGCAAGTGACAGGATAAAATGTGGTCTTGAATTCATCTCATGTTGATCAAATCACGTGACCCTTCCTTCTGGTCGAAACCGGAAGTGGTCTATTATTTAAAATGGTAATTGGTATCAAGTTGTTTTCAACAGTGTTAGTCTGTCAGGGTAATGTTTTCTTCAAATCATCTACTGATGACATTACCTAATTATCGAGCGCCCTCCAGCGACAGGTTAAAAATTCCAAAAAATGAATTTTGAATAGATGTCTGTGGCGAAGTTTGTCGAATCGCCTGAAAATTGATGTAGATGATCATCTTTACCCTGTCAACACGTGTGAAGTTTGGGGCTGATGACGTCATCAGACCGGAAGTTACAATAAAAACTTATTTTACTCTTCAAAATTCGGTAAAAAATCAACCACAAGAGATATAAGCATGAATTGTGCATGAGATGACAGCTAAAACATGGGAGTCAGCTGCATGAAGTGCATAACTGGTGCACTTTTTCACACATAAAGCACCGCCGACAAAAACCCCCTTACAATATAAAATCCAACTCGAAAATCCCGTTTCGCATGCTGTGCATATGCTACTGTGTGTGTGGACGCCCTATATCTGCCTGCAACATAGACGGTGCACAGTGCGTAGGGCATATACTCTGGACTTGGCAAAATGCCGACCACGTGCTGCGAAGAGCAGATCGCATTGTATGGAACACCAAAAGAAACAAGTGTTTATCATATCTAATCTGTGAATTTTCAGCGATAAGTATAATGTTTTGTATTTTATATTGTATTGTGCATGTCTTATTGGGTTGAAACCTTGCAGGTTGTCAGGAAGGGAAGGTTTACAAACGGAAATTGACCTCAGGTGATGACAATACCATCAGCAGACGAGTCGCGTGACATTAAAGGTGCATCCCTTCAAGCCCTATGTCTCCTAAAGTACATGTCCCAGTGGGTTGAAACTTTGCAGATACCTGGAAGGTCATGTGCGATAGATGAAAATTGACCTCATGGGATAATGATGTCATCAGTCAGATGGCAAGTCATGTGACATGAAAAATGCATCATTTATAGCCTTATGTCTCCAAAAGTACATGTTCCAGCGTGTTGAAAGTTAGCAGATATCTGGAGGGAATGCATGACAAAAATTGACCTCATGGGCCGGTGACGTTATCAGTAGACAAGTCATGTGACATTAAAGGTGCATCTTTTCAAGCTGTATATCTCCTAAAGTGATTGTCCCAGAAGGTTGTAACTTTGCAGATATGCAATCACGACTATAACATTTTTATTGAAAAGTGAAAAAGCCCTATGCTCTGTTGCAAACAGACATAGAAGCTCTCATTTGCTTCTTCTTCTTCTGCTCAAAAGCCCCTTCATTTTCTACACGTTTTTTGTCGACGACACTTTAGTGCTTTTGCAACTTTGGATCTTCATCAAACTTATACCTATGAAGAACCCCTATGCATAGATGGTCCTAGAAACATGGAGTCATGATGACGCCATCAAGTGATTTATTATTGATTTTTACATATTCATTTTAGCCCATTGACTTTCTACACGTTTTCAAGGCACAATTTGGGTTACTTTGAGATCCTCAATCGTCATCAAAGTTACAACAGCTGGCAAAGACCATGATGCAAAATAATTGCCTAATTTATGACGTCATAACCATATTTTATATTGATTTTTGAATGTTTAATATTTCCCCATATGTTTTGTACATGTTTTTTCAACAGCCAGACTTCGATACTCTTATAGGTCTGACTGGTTATATATTAGGTGGTTGCTTTTAGACAACAAGCTAGAGAAGGTTCAAGAAGAAGATCGTCACAATGATGTCATTATATGTCACGTGATTTGACATTAAATCTTTAAACTTCAAAGCCTCATATCTCCTAAAGGAAATGTTCAATTGAGTTGAAACCTTGCAGATACAGTAAAATCTCAATATTCGAAGTTTAGGGGAATGGATGAAAAGTTTGAGTTATCCGACGTTCGAGTTATCGAAAGTTACACGCTTCAGTGCACATGTAACCTTATTGGCTTAAGGCAGTTGGCCTACAAGTGGAGTCGAGCACGAAGTGGATTTTAGGCTATCCCTACTGTACAAATTTTCCTCAATCATCATCATTAAACATGCTTTTTGTGGTACATTAATAAACAATAAATCAATGAAGTTATGTACCAGTACCTGTGTCTACGTCTTGAGAATTCATTCATTTGCTTTGCGTGATAGGGCTGTTACCGCATAATGCAGCGCGCGGGCCAGTCGGTCAGGGTTTCCGTGCTGGGTCACGTGAAACATGTACAAAGCGCTTAAGGGCGCATCATTTGTGCCTGATTTATTTTACAGTTGCGGTTGATGCCCACCCAGTGCATGTCAACGTGACAATGCCAGCCTGTGTACATGCTCAGCTCATTAAAGAAAAGCAGTGAACGTGACAGTAATGACTCATAATGAATGTTGTTTTTTTTTTTAATTGGCCTGCCAAAACTTCGGGATAGGCGGCTTTAGTGGTATTGACGTTTCAGATTACGGATAGTTTATTGTACGTGAAGGCCTATTCTTTTGTTGGGAATACAGAAAGACGTCGAGGTAAACGGAGTTCGACTTATCGAGATTTTACTGTATCTTCAAAAGGGAGTGCTCTAGAGGTATATTGACCTTATGTGAGATGACGTCATCAGGAGACAAGTCACGTGACATTAAAAGTACACTCTTTAAGGCCCTATATCTACCGAAGTACATGTCCGATCAGGTTCAAATCTTGCAGATATTTTAAAAAGGGAGTGCTTTAGAGGAATATTGACCTAATCTGATGATGACTTCATCAGGAGACAAGTCACGTGACATTAAAGGTGCACTGTTTAAAGCCCTATTTCTCCTGAAGTACATGCTCTATCAGGTTGAAACTTTGCTGATAACTTGAAAGAGAGGTGCTATATACAAACACTGATTTGATGTGATGATGCCTTAGTTGTTTAAATGTACAAAAAGAATGCAAAAAGCCCTCTGGTCTGTTGTCAAACAGACAGATAAGCTCTCGTTTCTTTTCCTTTCGTTTTAATGTACTAACACATTTATGCGTGAATGCTCCCATTTCAACATGAATCCCTATCCTGGGCTGAATTATAGCAGACATGTAGTTTTCCATTATTTTTGAAAATGGACAATGAAGATACAGATATTATGAGTTTTCTAGAATTAGTTCAGTTCTTCTGGCTGTGGTTGATGATAGCCTTACCGGTGCACTAAACACTGGTAAGCCATAGCCAAAACTCTTCATTCAGACATAGTGATCAGATTGTTGATAGCTTTCAAGTGAGCGAAGGTCAGCGGGTCACTTGTGTCACTTATGCAAACTGGTGGCACTGGAGGTATTGACTGCTGGCAGTGAGACATTGCGGGCCACTTGATGCTAGTGACTTGAGCCTTTACTTGTGTGTTAACCCTGAATGAGTGTAGTCCATTTTTGTAAAGCAATCTCTCAATTTTTCAATCTCAACACATGGGGTCTGCTCCAACTGACTCCATTTCAGCAAGCACAGTTCAAGTTTGCAAAACCAAATGTTTGAAAAAAAGGATTTTTTTTCTGACTGAGGCATGCTAAAGATGATGACTTACCTTGGGTCCAACAATTCCCTCCGGTCCCCTTGGTCCAGATGGTCCCTGTACACCCTAAACAGCAACATAAACAGAAAAAAGAATGTGAATTGTCTTAGGGTTGGGCATGTATTTCTTAGAAAATGAAATGAACACTGATACTTATAATTCAGCATTTATAATGGGTAGGTTGATCAAGTAACATGCAGTTCATGACTTATGAGTTCAAGTTTAGATCTGTTGCAATTGTGACATTATAGTAAATGCATTTATCAGTGGAAACAATAAAAACAAGTGGCATGACTTTGTGGCATCCTATTAATCAAGGATGCATTTTAATGGGTGTAGGAAATGCCTCATTGTCATCAATATAAGGGAATTGCCAGTTCACAACAGCAAACAATGGAACCAGGAATTTAATATTGTGATGTTTAAACACTGTAGTTCTATGTGACAGTCACTGAATTTATCAGCAGTCCTTCAATTTACAGACCCAAGGTGCCTGGTGGCAAATGTTAATGGTGAGGAAGAGTATACTTACACGATCTCCCTTGAGACCAATGTCTCCTTTCAAGCCAGGAATACCCTCTCTTCCCTAGGGAATAAGCAAAACATGACACTAAATAAATTTCTTAAAAAGCTCAAATGTCATTTTTGAAAATTTATGCTTTTCTAATTGGTTGAACTTTTGATCAAGCTAATTTGTTTTTCCTACTTATTCCGACTTTTCACAAACATTCTAGCTAGCCCTCAAAACGTAATTACACAACATAGCCACAGCAGCGGGCCACAAGTGTCAAAAAGGTCTTTACAAAGTACCTTTTCCACAGTAAAAATAATGTTTTGAGGAAAATTAAAAACTTACCAATGATCCCTTTGAGCCAGGAACACCTCTTAAACCAGTCGCACCTTTCACTCCCCTTGGACCTGAGAAACCCTGCAAACCTTGCGGTCCCATTGGTCCCTACATAACAGAGCATGAAGGCCAAAAAGCGTAACCATCTACTCTGAATCAAGAACAGGTCAATTATACTGACAAATACTAATGTAGGCCTTCCAAAGCTCTGTGTTGCAGGGTAACATGCAATCAAAATTACTTGTAAACAAACATAAATTTACTTTACATGGCCCTAATTGTATTGTTAGCAACGCATAACAGTTGAGAAACAAGATAGGTTTTGGCATGCTTGGGTGACCCAACGTTGTAACTATCTTTAATTAACTGTATGTGGAAAAAGCTCTCATTTGTGTTGTTAAATGAATGTATATATTGATGGTTCATGTGGAGTCTTTTGGGAGTGTCAGCTACCACAGGTCAATCCCGAAGAGTGTAATACCGATTATCAACTTAGTGTTCTCGCCAGGGCATTATAGCATGGGGGACGCTGAAGTTTTGGGCCATGGCACTAAAATTCGGCTGTGACGCTAAAAACTTGGTCATGACGTGAAACATCTGGCCTCGAAGATAACTCTTTTTTTGCAGGAAATTTCTTCCGAAACTTGAGTGTGGCTAGAAATTACAACCCTAAGCCACGTAAATGTACAAAAAGATACAGAACTATTGGCAAAAGTGCACCAAAAACCAGGAACAAAGTTGCATCTGCCAGGACGGTGCATGTATTTTGGCACAGTGTCAATTTTGGCAATAGACGCCTCTATTACGCACAGGACATGTCGTGGACAAACTTTGCAGTGAAGAAAAAAGAAACCATGTGCTGTGTAAGCTGCATGATATGAAGGAGACTGGTTCCCTGTTGCTCTGCAGCAATGTGTTGACCCCACAATACATGGATATCATGAGCCAGACTTCCACACAAGATCTCAGTCAGTCACGAAAATATGCTGTGGTATTGTTCGCGCTGTACGTGTACATTTCCGTACATTGAAAAGATAAAATGATATCCAAAAAAATGCTGCTGAAATTCCACATAATGTTCACAGCATTTCATTTCCTTCCTCCTGTATTTTGTTTTTGCTAAGCACGATTTTTGTAAGTGCACATACAGTAGATCATAAAGATTTTCAACAAATAAGCACATAACTAAACCCCCAAAATGTACGGCTTGAGTTCTTCCAAATGGAGGGCAATGTGTGCTGTGTGCTATGAGCAAAACATTGTTATTTTTCTGCAGCAAAAGAGAAAATTATACAAAAACTGGAGCAAAATGTATTTAATTTCTTCTTGATAAATGTAATGGCTGCCAGGCGCTTATCCCGGTAGCTAGAGCTGTGAACACAATAACTTTTAATGTGTTACATAAGTGTTTGAACAGCGCCACCGCGTGAAAAATAATGGCCAGTCCCCCACTTGTCAACCCCCTCTTCCACTGCTTATGGGAGCTCACACCCTGCACTAACATAAAAAGCTGGTGACAACACTCTCAACTCTGATGAATCTTTAAGATGAAATGGATTAACTAATTGGACGAGTTTTGTTTACTTAGTTGTCTATGCCATCCACAGAAATTTTTTTATTAAAATCAATAAAAACGTAAAAATGTCTTCAATTTTTCTGCTAAATGTTGGACTCTGGAGAGTAAAAATGAATTGACAAAAAAATGTGATGACAAAAGAGCCATTTATTCCACTTTTCATTACCTCATCTCCTTTTGGTCCAGCAGGCCCATCTTGACCAGGAAAGCCCTGAGAGAGTATGTAGCAAATGCACACATTATAAAGGGTTGAAACAGCAAAAAGGTTAAATTCTTAACAAGGTCTATCTCAGCAATAATAATTTTACGTAAAATGATAATTATTGTGACTGAGGGCATAAATATTTACTTGGCAGGTCTTAAATGTTCATTGAAGACTGGATCAGGAGAGTGGCGAGTACTGTGATGAGAAGGTCCACAGCAAGCTGGAGCTTCATCAACCATTTAAGAACGGCTATGTGATAGGCTTTTGACCAACAGGAATGCCTAAACTGTCTCAAGTATTTGTGAATGTGGAGAAAACTTTTTGGATTTTGTGCTACCATGCTATGCACATTTGGCACACACAGTTCAATAATGTGATTGACAATAGATTTACAATACATGCAGTGCGCCACCAACAGGTTGCCACAGAGAGGTAAATTTTCAAGTTTACAGTCGACAAAAGCATGACTGCCTTGCTGCGATTTGTATTTGAGCTTATGTCAGTTGACACTTGGGGGAATTTTTTGATAGGCTGGGACATTTCATGCATAAGAAAGAATATAACTTCCCAATCAAGGTGTTCCACATGTTCAGTCACTGCCAGGATGTACGGTACAGTGCTGATTCACGACAGGTGAATTGTGAATTTCCTCAGGAATTTCAAAAAGGTTTTGACTATATATACAAGACAGATTTCACTAAAAACAGTTAACAAGTCAAGGAGTTAATACTCACTGGAGGGCCATCAGTCCCAGGTACACCTGGCACCCCTGGCTTGCCAACTGGTCCTTGGACCCCAGGGGGACCCATGGAACCCTGAGGTCCCATTGAACCCTTAAAAAGAATTTAAAATCAGATGTAAATAACACAATACAATGGCAGATTGGTAAAAAGTTGAAAAACTTTCTGCCATACTGCCAATGATTATAAAAAATATAATAACGATGACAATTTCTCTTTTTACAACATAATGTTTTGAAAAGGTGCCAATGTAAAAATCAAAGGAGACTGCCAAGCAATACCAGACACGCAAGCTGTAAGTGACCAGACCAGACCAAACTAAACCAAACCAACATGAAGAAAGAGGGGTCCTACAAGGATTGCTCAAAACACCAACTCATAATCACACTTGTCATTTGTAAAGATTGATATCATGCACATGAAAGTTAACGGCTGTCAACTGAGACTAAGAAACAGGCTGTAAAAATGGATTCCGTTCCACCAACGCTGGAAATACTTTTCGAATGTATAAATGTTAGGTTCTGTACATCCAAAACATTCTGTCAAAGTTCTCCCAAAAATCCTGCAGTTTTTAGTAATTATATTTCCAAAGTCTGCCACAGTCTTGTATGCACAATACATGTGTATACACTTCTAAGGCTTTGTGTGGGCACTTCCACCTTCAAAATTAGAAAACTGTGATTATGTCAAACTTTCAATATTATAAATTTTGATTTGTATTATGAATACATGTATATATGACAAATGAAGAAAAGACAGCACATGATTTTTGTCAGTTGACACCACAGAAAGATTTTATTATCTTTTTTCTAAAAGATTTTTGATCTGGTAGACACCACTATTGTTCTTCTGATCTCAAAATATTTCATGATCTGGCTAATTACAATAAAAAATAAAATGCAAAAGGAGAGTCATTTGATTTTGTTCAGTACAGACAATGGGGGGCTATGATATCCAAAATGTAAAATGAAAATGTCATGAGTTACTGACAGCAGGGGAAATACATGGACAAAACTTCATTCAATGTACTCATCAGGTAATTATGTTTCCAAGGCCCCCTTTGTTAGAGCCAATCATTTTGTCCTAAAAATGGCTTCCAATTCCAAATTGAATGACTTTGGTGTGATTATCCAAACTAAGGACATACGATTATGAAACAAAGCATTGAGAAAAATGTTCCAAAAACGTTAATCTCACTGGTTAGTTAAATTGATTTTCAAAAGAGCACATTTAAATTTGATGTAATGCTATCTGTATAAATAAAATGGCATAATGCAAAGGTAAAGGAAACAGCTCTAATGAACAGGACAGCTAGGAAGCCAGATACTTTGTGCTTCTTTGAAAAGACAACTGTGAAGAGGGCTGCGAACTGGAACATTTTCTCATTAATGTCCATTAAAAATCATCAATCACAGATGACAGTGCACATAGAGGTGGGAGCATCTGTACAAGTTTCTAAGTCAGACTGTTGGTTAATAAGTCAGATGTGTCGGTTGATAAGTCAGATGTGTTGGTTGATAAATCATCCTCCGAAGTGTCCACAGATTTCGTCACACTTTTTGAAGGCAATGTGGAGGAGTTGACAATCTCACACTTGTTTCTCCAGAAAGGTTTGTGAGGGCAGAGCTCAGGATAATCTCTCTTGAGCCAGTACTTCAACTTGTCACTTCTGCATTAGACGAAATAGTTAAAATTAGATGGGTGAAAACAAGAGTTACCGTGGAACGACTGGAGCAGAATAATGAGTGAATTTATGAGATAGATCATGCACATGATCCTTCAACAGCTCATTTTACCTTCCATTATTGATGTCCATGTATAAATATTATTAGCTTGAGAGTAGGAATCACAGACTGCCTATGCAACACCTTCTCTTCACAGACTGCCTATGCAACACCTTCTCTTCACGGACTGCCTATGCAACACTTTCTCTTCACGGACTGCCAATGCAACACTTTCTCTTCACGGACTGCCTATGCAACACCTTCTCTTCACGGACTGCCTATGCAGCACCTTCTCTTCACAGACTGCCTAT